GTTGAACTGTGTCAGATATTATTTTATATCAAATTTGTTGAAATTTTCTTCTTGCAGAGTAATTGGTGATTATTTAAATTGAAAACCTACTTGTTATCAGAGTAACTGGTATTGCACCTTGTAAACCAAAGAGTTCTAAAATTTTATAACTGTATGAGATTTACATGAAATTAACGATCTCAAATGAATCAGCAATGTTATAGTTACCAAAAAATGTATACTTAATTAAAATTGTAGGAATTTTGGGGGTGTAACTGATATAATTAAAAACTGTTAAGGGTGAACTGTAAAAACTAAAACCTGGAGAGAGAAAAACGGGTACCCGCGGGTCTACCCGTACCCGTATACTTTGCTGGTGTCCGTAGCTTTGTTGTTCTATTATATAATAAAATAGATTTACATTTATACTTTTTATAAAATTAAATTAAACAGTTTTATTGGATGGCACATGGACTCCTTGCAACCTCTAATGATGATATTGAAGAGTTAGAAGATGTTGCTGTGCGTTGTATGAAGGATTTATGGTCAAGGTGTTTCTTAGAGGATTTTACGGAACATTATCATTTATATTATAAGTTTAAAATGTATGATCTTATGCATGATCTTGCAATATCAGTGGCAAAAAGTGAGTGTGCTGTTTTAAAATCCAGAAGCCAAATAGTTGATGGGAGCGTTCGGCACCTCTCAATTATTGACTCTGATTTCAACGCTCAAAAAACTCCAAAAGTTCTAGATAATAGATCAAAGACGGTTCGGTCCCTTATTTTTCTGCAAGGAAACGAGCATATTGGTGTATCATTTATCCATACATGCATAGTCAAATTCAAGCACCTCCGACTGCTATACTTAAACAGTATTGATTTTGAAGTCTTGCCAAACTCCGTCGGTACGTTGATACATTTGAGATACCTTGACTTATCATATAATTATTTGTTGAAGAAACTTCCTGAATCTATTTGTCAGCTTCAGAAGTTGGAGACATTCAGACTTTTTGATTGTTACCGGCTTAAGAAGTTGCCTAGGAATATACGAAGGATGATCTCCCTTAGGCATGTGGAAATAACCACAAAAGAGCGGTATCTACGAGAAAATGGAATTGGATGTTTGAGTTCTCTTAGAGTTTTGTACTTATCTGGCTGCGGGAATCTAGTAAGATTGTTTGAAGGGATGCGAGGTCTCACAAGCCTCCGAAGATTGGAAATTCAATCGTGTTCCCTGACCTCGTTGCCATATAGTATCAAGTACCTCAAGAGATTAGAGAAGGTAGCTATTCAATACTGTTCAGAGCTTAACTTAAAGATGGAATTTCAAGGAGAAGATAAAGCTGCAGACGTGATGAGTCGAGGATTGCTCATGTCCGAGAGGTTAATCTTGATGAATAAATGTCATCACATAATAATGCTTTTTTTTCTGTTGAAGAAAATGTGATAGCAGATTCTCTTGCTAATGCATTGGTGGCGTGTTGTGTTGCTTCGTCGTTTATTTTAATTTCAAACTTGTATAAGTTGTCACAACAAACTTTAGTATTGCAGCTATGTCTTTTAATTTGTGTAAACTATAATCCGATATGCAAAATAAAATGCACTGCATTGTGTATGTAAAGGGAAGTAGGAACCCTGTTTATACTGTAAGGCTTGAATGTAAAACCAGAATTCAATTGAAATCATGTATTCATTGTAATCCAATGATTTAGAAAGGTTTTGAACTGAGAATAATTTGTATTACCTTTTTAACTTTGATAAAGCTGTTAACAATAACTAATTCTACTCAATATCATAACCTTTTTATCTTAACTGAAATGTGAATCGAATATTGCTTATGGATATTACTGTATACCCATTAAGATTCCAGAATTATGTGATTAGAAGTTGGAATGTATGGTAGTATTTTCAATTAACTTAAAAATATTAAGAAGCTAGTTGAAGGAGACAAAAAATTTCGGTGGAAAGAACAGAGGATCCCTCTCTGCCTCACTGTCATGGAATTGATTGATGCAGAGTTGAGTTCCTATTGCTTCATGAATGGTTGATGCAAAGAAAAGCTTCTCAACTATTTCAATTTTTGTAGGAAGTCTATCTCTTTGCTTGTCAATTTTATAATCTAAAGGAAGAACCAACTAAAGCTTTTTCTGCTTAAGATTGATGGCTTTCAAACGAACAGTTTCACTATTGCTAATCCTTAAACCCTCTGATTTAACTGAAACAAAAATCAGAAAACCGCCGCACAGTTGATGACTTTCAAACAAAAATCGATTTGCAATACGAGTGACTGGAGAGCGTTTGAAAAGTTTGCTTAATTTTGAAGTGCTTTGTTAAAATTAAATAGCTTTTTATATATGAGGGCAGTGTCATCTTTTAAACTTTGTGAGGACTATTGTTTGCAAGAGCAGTTTTTAGATTAGGGCCGTTTATATAATTTATCTATCATTAATGAACTTATTCATGAAAGGGCTTTAGTTCAGGATGAAAAAGGAATATATATTTATGTATAATGTATATTCATTTACAAAAAATTGTGATACAAAATGAACTTGTATTTATGAGAATGTATTTAAGAAATATATTTAAAGCTTCACTGATTTATTATAAAAATATTCAATCCCTCAAATATAATAAAAATACTCAATCCGTCAAATATACATTGTATATGTAAAAGGAGTAAAACTGTAACATTAAAAATAAAAACAGGATGGGTATCTGTCATAAATTTTCAATTACCTTGGTTCTTTTAACATCAAAATTCTTGATTTCTCTTCATATATATCTTTCTGTAGTTGTCTTTCTTTCTTGTAGACATCAATTTAAGTTCTCATTGCTTCATGAATGGTCCGACAGCTTCATCCAAATTCCACTCCATTCATCAAACATGGCCTTGCACCCAAAGTAAAGCAATAAGTTGGATCTTCACTCTTTAGATTCTAGTTCATGGCTTGTTTTATTGCTTGGGCCTACAATTTTTTCTTTCCACCAGGAAAAGCCATCGTTTTTCAAACTACAATTTCTCAACCATCCACATCCTGACTAAGGTAATTTAAGTGTTAAAAGTCAAAGTTGTGTGTTTTCCAAGAAACATACTGCTATACTTTTCCACAAGAAGGCATACTTTTCAGAACCCCTCTAGTATATAGAAACTAGTGTTTGATCAAAGATTTTCATATCTCAGAAAATGGAAGAGGTGAAAGTTATTGGAGCTTCGCCGAGCCTATTGTGTGTTAGAATTGAATGGGCTTTAATGCTCAAGGGTATAACATATGAGTATATAGAAGAAAACTTGAGAAGGAAGAGTAACCAGCTTCTCCAATCTAATCCTGTTCACAAGAAGGTTCCGGTGCTTCTGCACAATGGAAAACCAATCTCTGAATCTTTAGTCATCCTTGAGAACACAGAAGACACATGGAAACACAACCCTTTATTGCCTGCAGATCCTGTCGACCGGGCCATGGTGCGTTTCTGGGCAAAATATGTTGATGACGAGGTAATTCAAGAGTTACAGATTTCATTTGCGTAAAAAAACTTCACATGTGTAATCTATAAAAAATATATGAATAGAAGAGAGCTCTGTAGTTACAGGAGTCATACTTGACTGTTTATTTGTATGGTTTATTGTGCAGTGTGTGTTTAGTGCTTTCGCTGCTTACCGTGCCCAAGGACTTGAAAAAGAGAAAGCTGTAGAGTCTGCACAAAAAAAACTAGGAGTTCTCAACGAGCAGATTCAAACAAGAAACTTTTTGGTGAAACCATGAGTTTCCTAGATTTGGTTTTGGGTTCTATACCTCACTGGCTTCAGTTTATAGAAGAACTTGGAGGCATGAAGCTACTTGATCCTCGTAAGTTTCCATCACAGTATGAATGGACTCAGAAATTTGCAGAAACCCCGTTGCTCAAAGAAAAAATGCCAAAGAAAGATGACTTGATCAACTACTTCCGAGCTAGCCAAGAAAGCGCTTAAAGATTACAATCCTGTTGAATTTCAGAACAACATACAGGCAAAAACTTTATAAATATATAAAATGTGGTGTAACATCAAATATTATATGGTTGTAAGAATTTCCTCACAACCATTATACATACAAGCATTAATAATATGATAATTACATAAGATGGAGTTAATTAATTATTAGTAGGGAATATTAGCATGAGATAAGGCCTTCTGACAAAATTCTAGATTATATCGACAACAAAATGGAATTCCAGCGTCACTCATTTCAATCAATGTACCAACAACTAAAACCACCATTATTATCATCTTCAACACAGCAACCTTCATTATTAATGGAGCCACTAACAACTCTTTTTAATGCATGAATATGATAGAATAAATGAACATATATGTATATATAACATAATCCTTACTGTCTGCATTTCTTCACATATTCTTTTACATTTGAAATAAGTTACCCATTGACCACAACCACCCTAACAAAACTAATTATGTAACATATTATACTTGATCATCTCAAAAAAATCCATCGGTGGCTTAACTGACATTAAAACAAAATCTCGTCACTCACCGTCAAATCAACGAATGCATAACTCAAACCTATTTATTATTCCTGGAAATAAAACATTCCCCTGAAATCTTTTGTGACTCTCTCCTCTTACTCTATAGATAATCAAATAATTTGATTCAAATTCCAACTTATAAATATGTGTGTAAAGAGTTTTTTAAAGCTAATTTTTGCACAAAATTTAGTTGTTACTTATATATCCTGCTTCCTTTTTGATGAAATGATCAATGAATATCCTGTAAATTCTAACAACATACCTTACTGTGAATTTTATATATCAAGAATTGGTTTTAGGTATTTTTCGTTTAATGAATTTTGCAAAACTACAAAGTGACTTATTGGAAGTTAAAGCAGAGAACGACCAGCTAGAATTAATATAATATTTGCCACCACATCATTCATTGTCTTTTCTTTAAACATTACTGCATTGCTGTGAAGGAAACCATTAGCAAATCATTTCACATTAATTTTCTATCAAATTGAGTTAATGAGCATGGGCGAAGTGAAGTTGATTGGGTCAACTATAAGCCTATTCTGCACTAGAATTGAATGGGCTCTCAAGCTTAAAGGGGTTGAATATGAATACATAGCAGAAGATTTACAGAACAAGACTTCAGTTCTTCGAAAATCAAATCCTGTGCATAAGAAGGTTCCTGTGCTCGTTCACAATGACAAACCCATTGCTGAATCACTGGTAATTTTGGAATACATAGATGAGTTGTGGAACGAGAAGCCTTTGTTGCCTGAAGATCCATGTGACGGAGCCTTGGCTCGATTCTGGGCTAAATTCTGTGATGAAAAGGTTAGCGAAAAACCAATATTTCAATTCCAACTCTTCACGTTTTGCGCTCTCTCTTGCGCACGCCTCTCTTCTTCTTTTTTGCGCTCGCTGTGGCGACCTTTTCTATTGCCGCAGCGATCGCTCTTTTTGCTTCACGTTCTGTGCTTTTTCCAGTGCTCGCCGCAGCGACCATTTATGTTGCTGCGGCGACCAGGTGTTCTGCTTCTTTCTTCTTTGTCTTCAACCATTCTTCTTCCGACTCTTCAACCATGGCCATCATTTCCTTCACCAAAACAGGCTCATCTTTCAACAGTTACTTTTATCTCACCTTCTGTCGAACTCATTGATCTTAATGAAGATTTTTGGCAGTTCATCGTTGATATTTTTTTTTTTTTTTTTTTTTTTTTATAACTAAGCATATATACAAGCAGTGTCACAAACATAACATTGAAGGTCAGCTCCAACAAGATATGAATAAAATTATAACAAGCCACGACAGTTAACTTGAAAGGAAAAACCACTGATCACAAGTAGGAACGACATTGTGGATTTGCCTGAGCTTATTCTTCAAGGATCGGCAAACACTTTGCGGTGCATGAAGATTGAAAGTTGTCCCAACTTAGAAGCACTACCGGCCATCACTTCAAACGCTGGAAATTATAAGATGCTGGAGGTTGTCATCTCTTCTAGAAGGGATCCAACGCCTTACCGCCCTCAGAAAACTGAAGATTAAAGACTGTCCTCCTCTGAGTGAAAGCTGCAGACGCGATGGCTCAAAGATTGCTCATGTCCGAGATGTTCATCTTGATGAATAAATGACATCATCCTGCATGTTTCTCATGTCCAGGTTCACTTTATCAGTTGAACTTCATTTTTGTTAGTTATACGTTGTGGTGATGCTCAATTTTGACACTAACGACTCACACGTGTAAAACGCTAAGCAGACTTAGAAATTACACGTGATAAAAACATGAAATGAGAGAAAAATGAGAAACGATTTTTAAAGTGGTTTGAATGCTCAAAAGCGAATCCTCCGTCCACTGTTGTTGTATTAATAGGTGGATACAGTCAGGTCACATGTGGCAAATTGTTTACAATCTAGAGGAAAAGAGAGAGAGAGAGTGTGTGTCAATCCCGTAAATGAGAGGAGAGTCCTTTATTTGTAATGGGAGGATTCACAGTAATGATTACGAGTCTGTAAGTGGGTAGGTGTCGTGCAAGTCTTTCCTTGCATCCCATTAGTTATCTGCATGAGAAATTTCCTTAAATTGCATAGAGCTCGGGCAGGTGGATGATCCCTAGCCACTCGCAAGCCTAGCGTTCACCTGCTGCACTAACAAGAACCGTACCTCTTCTGTCACTACCTGACGTGGCAGCGTCTGGACGGTACAAAACCTTCCTGAATCCTGATTGGCTCTCGCTGACGAGAGCTCACGTCATCCCTAACTTTTTAGGCATAATAGAAGTCCCCCAGTTTTTAAGGTTTAAGGACTGAACATTGAGAACTTCATAATTATGCCGCGACTTGACTTGTCCCAAATGACGTTTGGTCAAGCTGATTGAGCTGCAAAGAGGTCGCAACATACGTCTCTAAGGATAGCATAAGTGACCTGAGGTGGCCTTCTCCCACAAGTTCAACGACCTGGATCAGGCCCAACTCAGTGTCGTGCCAATATGCTTCGAATCTCATCCGCGGTTCGCGACTTGAGAATACTTAGCACATTTTTACTAAGAGCAAGGAATCACATCGTTTCAAAACAGATGCACAGCGAAGAGTGTTTTGTCCAAATGACCTCTTCAGATGTTATATGTTGCTTTTGATAGCTAATCTTTCCAATAAAATAATCTTTATTCTGACAGACGTGTCTAGTGCGTAATTAGTGCCAGCCATGCGTATTAAATGTAAACCATGTTGAAATGACATTCTCTTTCAGAGCATTAAATGCGCCAATTAAATGCGGATGAGGGCGCATTTAATTTGGAGGAGATAATCGAGCCGTCGCTTGGTTGCTCCAATGGAGGGAAGCGTCAATTGGCACCCTCAAAGCGTGGTGGTTACTTCTTCTCCTAGATTGATGACACGTGGTCGCAATCAATGGTAAGAAACATATCCCGCCCAAGCGTTGCTTGCCTAGAGAAATCAATCGTCGCTTCTTCCCCCTATAAAACCCCAGGCTCACTTCAAGCATTGTCACAAAATTCATACTTTCAGAGAAAGAACAAAGCTCTCACGAAATCAGCCTCCCCTATTTCTAGTTGCTACGCTCCTTTCGTTACGACAGGAAGTCCATCCCAGGAGCCAAAAGGTAAGAAGGGTTTCTTCTTTGCTTTCTTTTACTATTTTGTTAATAGCTTGACTTGACGATAATGGTGGGTATGAATTGTCTGGTAAACTTTTGTGGTGCGTATTTCCTGGTGGTTGTGGGAAGAAGGCTTTTTCTTTATAAAGAGTGAACATTTAGGGCACGAATCCTTATAGGTTGATTCCCAAGGGTGTTTAGGGTTTTTCTAAGGTTTAAAGAAGGTATATTATGGTTTCTTTTGTTCTTTCACATCATCATATAGAATACTGTACGAAGACTGAGTTATCTCTACATGTCGCCCCTTTTTCAAACCTTAAGAGCAATGGATGCCTCAGCAACCAGAATAATCGAGGGGATAAACTCGCAGGCGCTGGATGCCCTAGTAGGTCCCATGCAAGAGATTTTGTCAGTGACCACCCGAGATGAGATACAGAAGGCAGTGGACCAATACGCACTTAGCGAGGACGTCTACCAACATAGAACATATACAGCTCAGAATCTTCCAAAAGGAATGACCATGATCTCCGAGGCAATCTTTAAATGTGGGGCATTGATACCTTTTCACCCCTTCATTAGATCGATCCTTGATCACTTCGAGGTCGCGCCACTGCAATTGACGCCCAATGCATATATGATAGCTATTGCTATGTATATCGCATATGACGAGAATGGCCTTGGCCAGCTGACAGCGCTAGAGCTTGCATGCTCTTATTACCTGAAAAAGAGCAAGGATAAAGACTCTTTTTACCTCTCGAAGCGATCTACGATCGAGGGAGGAATATTTAGTTACCCTAGTAACGTCGGGGCCTATGAAACCAATTTTTTCTTTTTTCAATACGATGGCATCTGCCAGTTTAGGGAACCACGCAGGTTTTCCCCTTCTTTCATTTTGCGAATTTTTCCTTTTCCTTCAGTCTTTGCTTTCTAATTAACTTTTCCGTCTCATTGTAGGAAATAAGATGACCAGGTTGATGACTCTAACTGATTTCAACCGAATTGTAGCATTCGGTAATCTATTCGAGCAAAGTCGCGACGTGAGACTGCTCGTGACTACTGCCAACCTGAGCAAATATGGTTTCTTCAATCCCGAAGCATATCTGGAACCCTTAGTCTGTAAGTGTCCTTGCACTTTAGAATTTCTTTCTTTTGCGTGTAGTGGCCTTTTTTGCTAATCATCCTTTCATGAATCGTCCATGCCACCCAGAGTTCTGAGACCGATGACGAGGACCAAGGGGTTCGTTTTTCCCCAAGTTGCCCTATCTGAGCCAGTCAAGGAGATCCCTAGCGACCCCCCCCCCCCCCCCCCCCAAAAGGAGGGATATAGATGGGTGCAGAAAAACCCTCAGAATGACAAGGGGAAGCTTCTCGGCCTGTAGCTACTTGCACCCCAAGTAGAAAACTATGGGCCAAAAAACTGAGAAAAGAAAACAGCTGTAGGCTGAAGAATTAGAGTCTAAGCTAGAAGGCTTGGGGGTGTAACCCGGGAGGTCACAACCTTACTAGGCCTTCTGCCTGGGGCCAACCTCGAGACCCGCGCCTGGCATTTCAATAGTCCCGGAATGCTCACGTAGGGGATAGAGGGAGGTCGTAGTTGCTCGAAGGAGAGCGGGCAAACAACCGGTCGGCGAGATGCCAATTCCTTCAAGGGCAGACACACTTATGTTGGACTCCATGGAACAACTCCCAGAACACCTGCAACCAATGGTGTATAACCTATTGAAGTGCCAACCTGTTGTAGCTTTTAAGGAGTTCATGGCCTCTCGACCTGCGGACCTGATAGCTATAGCGCTCCAACTACAAAGACAGGTAAAACAACTCGTTCTTGTCGAGGACTTCCCAATATCGGTTGGTTTTCATACCGTTTATGATTTTCAGGAAAATGGAGTTTAACCTTTGTTTCCTTTCTTATGTAGTCTCTGCTCGCCATCCATATGGCCCAACAGAAGACCAATCCGGACTCTACTAGGGGGCTTCACGAGGTGAAGGAAGAGAATGCGAAGCTAAAATAATACTTCGTAGCTCTGGATGCAGAGGCAAAAACGTATCAAATACAGGCGAATCAATACCTGATAAAAAGAAACTCTGCCCTTCGCACATTAGAGTTCCAGAAGGCTGAGTTCAAGAAGAGAGGCGAAGAGATCAAAGAGCTCCAGAGGACAGTGGCCAAACTCACCAAAGAGTGTGGCGAGAAAGAGCAAGAGTGAACAGGCCATGAAGGTACAGGAAGAGAGAGCTTGACTGTGGGAAAATACCAAGAAGCAGAAGAAGGCACTGGAGACTGACCTTGAGTTTTCCCAAGGGCGGGTCGCTTCATTAATTGATCAAATGAAGGGGCAAAACCTTGAAATCGAGAGGAAAACTGCTGACTGGGTGATTTAGGCCATCTACCGCTTGCTACCAAGGAATCCGGGGATGGACCTCTCCGACCTCTCAATCAAATATTAGAACAGCCTTGCTTCCATGGCGCAAGCTAATGATGACTCCAAGGAGGAAAAGGGATAAGGGCCTCCTCCAGAGGATGACCAGCCGGAGGAATATGTCCCAGAAGACCCAGCAGTTGATCGGATGGTCGTTGACCAACCGGGGGATACCGAGGTCGCACCCGCAGGGCCTGTAGGTTGAGACCAGTGATCGCTTTTCCTGCTTCTGCATAGTTTTGCTTTTGACTCTATTTTTGTATTTCTTAACTCTTTTTCTTTTGGCTGCCTACTGTACTTA